ACATAAAAATAAACATATAGTCCTGATTGGAGACTAGATAAAACTTTCTAAAGATAAAAGTAAATTTACTAGATCTTGCCTATAATAGATAGAATTAATATGTCATGTCGTGGTCTTCTTGAGCCCTGTCTCTTCTAGATAAACTTTCATTGGTTTATTGGGTTCTTTTCTCAGCCGAATCCACTAAAGAACCTTACCAATCTTTGGTGACAAGTATATGGATAAATTAAGTACTATACAAAGTTTAAAACTTTATAAAAAGTGGTATAAATTGTACTTTTAAAAATGTGGCACCGATAATTCATCTCTCCATTAATTCTATGTGTCATATGGATTATTTTGTTTGCTACTCTACTAAAATTTGCTATTTAAACTGAACATTTTTTAAAAAAATCCTTATCAAAATATTTGGTACTATCAGCATGTTTATCTCTTGTTGACATACTTAGGGTGTGTTCAGAATGTTTCCAACTTCTACTCCCTCGTTTTTCGTTCTCACGTTTTATGAATTGCTTAAAAATCATATAGGACAGTTGCTTTAAAATCATATTTATCCATTTTTTTAGTTTTTATAGCTACTATTTAATCAACATGCGCTAATTAGCCACCCTATTTTATGTTCGCGGGAGAAAAGTTTCCAAACTTCTGTCCTGAACGCAACCTTAATAAGAACCACACTGAATTATGCCCATCCTACCCTACTATTTTACTAGCTCTTTCCAAACAACTGTCTACTAAAAAAGGGTGCAGTGAAAAGAAACATGTTGTGACACTCTTGTTAAAAATAGCGTTGTAACAGAATAGGGATTGCGAATTATGTCATGTTTGCATTTCTATGTGAAAATTTACAATAGTACAGTTTTTTTTTTCTGAAATTGGTGGCACAAAATATGAATTGTGCATCGCGTACGTCAGTCTCACAAATAAATACGGTCATGCATGGATGGCCACGGCCGGCAAGTAAGAGGATGACAGGACAACATATATACGGCTGCATTTAAGCAGGGACAAAGGGCTGGTTTGGTTTAAGGTCTAAATTAGGCTTACCAATATTTGTCAATTTCAATAGTGTTCAGTGTCTATTTGGTTTGAAACCAAATTTTGGCATGCCTAAGAAAATAGGCCATTGCAATAGTAAACTTAGGCTATTTTGGCTTCAATACAAACATAACTTTACCTTACCAAAATTAGTCATGCCAAAACTTACCAAAATTTGACACTGACAACCTAAAAAGAAGATTTCTCTAGTTATCCACCTGCACGCTTTCCGAATTGTATTTAAAAAAATATAAAAAGTTATTTTTAAAAATATATTAATTTATTTTTAAGTTTTAAATAATTAATACTTAATTAATCATACGCTAATAACTTAGCTCGTTTTACGTGTCTTCTCAGTGATCTCTCCTTTCTCCTACTCTCAAACACTCCCTTGGTGAGGAGCTAGGCGTGGAAGATTCCAGAGTCAAAACAAATTGATACCAAGAAAAGGTCAGCTTTCAACTAAAGTAAAGAAAGCTTTTAACACATATATATCATACTTGTCTCTAGCACAGTATAAAGTTATCACCATTTACTAAATATATATTTCAGTCATTAAAATATGAGTTCGAATAATGCTACCACCGTACGTCCTCCATACTGATCAAGTAGATGTTGATCGACCTAAAATATAGTATATGAGTTGTCTTAAATTATTCTTTATATAAAAATAATAATATATAGGATAAAATAATACCAGCCGATCTATCATGAAAATTAATTCCACGATAATATTTCATATAATTAGAAAACGTAGTGATGGAACATGCAATAATATCCAAAACATCAAATAAAAAAAGAACAGAGGGATGGACACTAATCAACGCTTCCGTGGCGTTCAAAAATTTAAAGCTACAATTACAGTACATATTGCAACACCTTTTGTCATCAGGAGGGGCCAAACTGCAAATTTTGACTAGTGGGTTCAATACATCGCTTTTTATATTAGTTCTTATAGGAATTTAGAAAGTGAATGCTATTCCAAATATGTGCTTATAATTAAGACAGCTTACCTTCTTTGTCAAAGAAAATAAATAAATAAAACTCCTCTTTCCACACTAATCTCCCAACTATAATCAATAATTAAGCCGCTAGATTGTACGTCCGTATAGAAATAATATAAGGCTCCCTTTGATTCAAAGGAAAATTCATAGAATTTTTAAAGGATTTTATTCCTATAGAAATATTTCCTACATATCCATTTGAATCAAAGGAATGAATCCTATGAAATTCCTATGCAATGCCTAATGACATGTAAGTTTTGGAGGAAATCTAGAGAACCTCATGGAAACTTTCCTATAAGTCTTCATCTCTTCTTTAATTCTTGCGTTTTTTTTGTGGTCCAATCAAACGGCCATTCATGTGTTTTTCCTATGTTTTGTAATCCTTTGTTTTACACTTGTATTCATACCAAAATCCTGCGTTTTTCTTATTCCTACGTTTTTTCAATCCTATGATTCAAAGGCCCTTAGCCAGCATGCAGCTCATCCAATTAATCCCACTCCTAGCTACTCCAACTCTCTACAAATGTCTACTATAGCTACCATCCACCTGGCACTGTGCCAATGGCGACCTTACGCACCCTCCAATGGCCACTTCCATCTTGTCATCATCATTCCTGTGCCCATCATATCTCCTGATATATTTGCTCCGCCAATCAATTCACTCGAGGTATTTTACGACCCACCAGCCAATCGCCGGCGAGCTCCGTACGGTTCGCCGAGTCACCGGCGCCGCCCAATGGCGAGCCGCGGCTTGTGACCCCTGCCCCTGCGAGATGATATTCAGATGCTTCCGGTAAAGCAGCACGATCTCTCGATGCGATCAGCGCGCGGTCGTCGGCGCCGTCGCCGTCGTCCACCTGTCCGCCGGAGATCTGGAAAGAGATCCGCCTCTCGCAGTCACTCTCTCTCTCTCTCTCTCTCTCTTTTCTTTTGTAAGGATCCATCTCGATGTCTCTCCAGCTAGGTAAGCACTGCTAGCTTGCTATGGATGGATGAGAGCGAGGTGGACCAATGGGGTGTCGGCGATCGGCGTCGGCGTCGGCGTCGGCGTGCTTTTAGTTTAAGCGACGGGTTTGCTTGTGGTGGTCGCCTCCGATTGGCTCTCTCTCGCGCGCGGGGGGCAAGGGCCAAGGGGCACCAATGGCGTAGGCGCGCGGTGGTGGGAGGCTGGGAGGTATAGGGGGGATTGAGTAGGACGCGGCGACGACGATGACCAGTGCTCGCGCGGCGATGCGATGCGATGGCGGCGTCCCATTGGATGGAGGCCGGCGCGGAAACTCAAGAGAAAAAGAAAAAGAGAGAAGAATATGGGACACGTGGAGGAGTACTCCCTACATCTAAAACACCCTAGGTCTTTTGATTGCATAATAAAAAAAAACGTAGAAATAGAAAAAAACTTAGAAGTTGAAGCGGTACATTACTCAAATTCTACCGGATCAACAAACATAAAAAAAGACAATATGAGTCCTTTGACACTGCTATAGGAAAAATAAAGGGAAGTTCATAAAGAGATCACACCTCTAGCTATTTTTCCTATGAGATGTGAAGCATAGGAATACAATTCTATAGAAAGTTTCATTTCTTTCCTACGAATCAAAGGGACATGTAGAAAAATAATCTATATATAGGAATTTGAATGTATGAAAATCCTTTGCGAATCCTATGAATCAAAGAGCCCCTTAATCTAGTGTATTAGATAAGACATTTTATAGACTAGATTGAATTTTTTTTAAGGAGGGAGTAGACCACTAGTGTAATGCAAACAAATTACAGTATTTTACATTTTACTTATTACAGTATTGCAAACAAATTGAGGAAACTACTACTTCAAATAGAATGTGGCTCGTTCGGCATATATAGCTGTACACTGGTACTGTTGCTGCAAACGCCGCAATACCATATTAGCCGAACAAGCCTGGTGTGTTTGAAGGATTTGTACCATGTTTTTTCCTTCACGAGGCGAAAATGCATGATGTGCAAATGTGCAATGATAAAATGTACCGCATCGTTTCTCATTGCAGATTTTGTTTGAATTTGAGCGTCTTTTTGAAACGTAGGAATAGGAAAAAGATGAAATTTTGATGAGATTGTATGTATAAAATAAAGAATTATAAAACCCCCAAAAAAAAAAGAAACAACCGCATGAAAAAATTCAGGAATTAGATCAGAGCTAGATAGACTCAAAGAAAAGATTTCAAGAGGTTTGAGGCTTTGAGCTCTCATTAGCTTTTCTCCAAAATCTACATACAATGAGCTATTTCATATGAATTTCATAAGATTTGGAAAGCTCAAATAGAAAATCGTATGAAAATCCTTGGTTCAAAGAGGCTTCAAAGTAGCGGCCACCTAGAAAACTTCGACTTGTATTATAAATTGAATCCTAAACCAATAAACCAAAATTAGATAAAAATCACTTTGAAAATTGGAATGCAAATATTTTGGCTCAACTTTAATTTGTATGGTTCCTAAAAAAAACTTTAATTTGTATGGTATGCACACAGTATTATGCTTGTAGTTGGACTGATTATTCTGATCAAATCCATGAGCTACCACTTTTTAAATTAAAAATACACCTGTTGTAGTAGGGGAGAATTTACTATTTGCCAGTGGCATTTGAGCAGAGACATTTTGAGAGTGTGGCAAATAGTAAATTCTCCCGTTGTAGTAGTAGTACCATGAACAATTACTAAATATAACAAGTGGATCAATTAACTATTACTAATCGGGGGACTAATTAAAACCGCTAGTCGCCGTCCGATCCCCACCAACCTCACATCATCACAGCGACATGATTTCCACCTGCCCTAGCCACGGACGGCTCAGATCTCTCCACGCGGCTCTGACTAGTCAGCGGTGATTACGTAAACGTCAAAAGATGACGTGACACCAATCCAAATATTCCGTTGCCTCTGCAGGATTCGTAATCCACTGCCTTGCCTCGTCTGTGGCACCAACTAATTAAACTAATTAGTGCTTAATAAACAAAGATTAATCTCCATACATTTTGGGGTAAATAGAGATTAAATAATTAGGTAAATCTCCATACATTTGGGGGGGCAAATAGAAAAATTAAAAAAAAAAGAGCCGCATGCTTCTTGCATGCCTCCAGATTCCAGAAGCATCACTTGGCTTAGTTAATTCTCCTTCTTAGGCTATCTCCAACGAGGCAACCCAAACCTAAAAAAATCTTACTGTGCATGACCCAAAACAAGAAATAGGTATCGTTTTTGCGTCTCCACTGTTGGAGATAGTCTTACACTTGCAAATCTTGCTGCTCTGCTGCTAATCTAATTCCATCTCTTAATCTTGTAATTAGGTAGCCCTAATCTGCGCCCGACCAGGATACGGATACGGGTATAGTACGCGACGAGAATACGTCTCCGTGCGACGGAGGCGTATTACGGGAGGGCGCCGAGGCTGAGGCTGAGCGCGGCCTGGAGGTCGAGCCGCCAGAGGTAGCAGCCGCCGGCGTCGAGGCGCCACACGTCGCAGGGGGCCACGACGGAGCTGCGGCGAGGGGAGTATGGGGATGGGTGGACGCGCACGCGGCAGGTGAACCCGGCGCAGGTGCCCCACGCCGGCACGGCGGCGGCAGCGTCGCCGTCCCTCGCGGCGAGCGCCACGCGCGCCTGGTCGGGCGCCGCGGCGTCCGGCGCCACCGCGCGGTGGAACGCGGCGTTCTTCCACGTGACGCGGCCCCACTGGTCCGAGACGAACGCCGGCGCGCCGTCGCCGTCGTCCCCCGCGCGCGCCGCGCCGCTGCCGCCGTCGCGCCAGACGCTCGTCACGTCCTCCACCGTCACCACCGCCGCGGCTGGGAGCAGCGCGCGCGGAGGCGGAGCGACCACCACCGACTGCGCAGCAGCGTGCGCGGGCGCCACAGGAGGTGGCGTCGTCGTCGTCGTGTCCAGCGGCCGCACAGGCAGGAGCGGCAGCATCGCCGACGGTGGCGGTGGAGGCGACGACTCCACGGATGTCATCCCGGACGAGGACGACGACGGCGAGGACAACGACTTCTCCTTCTCCTTCTCCCTCTCCATCTCCTTGCAGTCGCCGACAACCTTGGGTACAGTCTTCCCCGCCACCGACGGCGCCGGCGCCGGTGCATGCGCCGGCGCCAACGTGGCCGCGGTAGCAGCCTTCTTGGGCTTCCTCCCCCTCCTCCCACCACCACTGCCGCTCACCGCCTTCCGCTTCCCCTTCCCGGCCCCCACACCCGCAACCGGCGCCGGCGCCATCGCCGCCGGCTTGGGCGCAATCGGCCGGAACTTGAGCATGATCCTCCCCATCTGCCACGCCATGGCCGCCTGTCCCCCAGCTCCGGCCGCCGCCGCCGCCGACGCCGCGCCGTACCTCGGCGCCAAGCAGCACCCTCCCTTCCGCTCCATCAACCACCCACTAGACCACTACTACTCCCAACCTCACCTCACCTCACCTCGTCGTGAACTCGAACGGCGACGAGCACTGGCTACCTGTCCTTCCCGGCGAGTGGAACGCGACGCCGGCGAGTGGGGCGGAGAGGCCTTTAATACACAGCGGAGCAAGCTAGGAGCTAAGGAGTAGGGAGGTGGGAACGGACGCGTGTCGTGAGGCCCACGTGTCACTGGGAGGAGGCGGGCTATGATTGGTCTCGCCGCAACACGTGGCGCGCGGCACGTGAAAAGGCCCGCACCCGCGCCGGCCCATTGCCCATTGGAGGAGGGGAGGAGCGCCTTGCCTGCCGTGCCACGCAAAGCGGGCAAGCAGCAAATACTCCCCCCTCACTGACACCCATGGCCCACACCTGACCTACCCTACCCGCCAGCAAAAGCGGGTGCGCAGAGTCGACGTGTCCTCCGCATCCCGCCTCGCTTCGACGACACGCGATGGCGTACCCATGTGACTGACAGGTGGGTCCGGAAGTCATCTCGGGGCCACGTGTAAGTGGGTTAGGGTGATCGGCTTCGTGTGGTCGGAGTCGAGGGGGGTAAAAGGTAGGAGTACTAGTAGTACTTACCAGCGATGGTGTGTCTGGACCAATGGGAGGGCGCGGAGTGTGCAGGCGCTTTTATTGTTGGGAGGGAACACGTAGACCGTCTGGAGCATGCGGCGGTGGGGCCCACCGGCAGCTGTGTGCTTTATCCCCAGGGGAAAAGGGGCCACCAACGTTTTTCCACTAACCTCACCCCGGCTATTTTCCCTCGCCAGAAGGGCAACTGCAGTCAGCGGTACTAGTAGCAAATATCCATCCTCCATTGTCCGGGGCTCCACTTTTAAATAGTGGCCGTGCAATTTGGTGTGATTGTATTGGTTGGTGGATTTGGTTTCCTTGCTTGGCATTGGATGATTGTGATTTGGCTATCTATTTGTTGGTTGATGATACCCATACACAAAATGTGTGATAAGTTTTATGAGGTATATAGGGTATAAATACCTATTTAAACTTTTCGTTACGATTATCTATTTAAACGCTCATCCAAGCAAGTACTCCATCAGTTTTATAACAAGTTTTATATTATAAGATGATTTGATTTTTTTAATTTACTTAAATTTCTTTAAATTTAACTTGATTTATAGAGAAACATAGCAATATTTTTTTTAGCTATTGCTATGTTTACTTCGGACTACACTAATGTTTGGATGGATAAGTCTATGGGTGAAAGGTTTATTTTTCCCTTATGACTAATGGTAGGATGAGGATGTGGATCCAAAACTCAAAGATAATAAATTTGAAAAAGCCAAGTGTTGGCAACTTTTTTGACAAGTTGACAAGCACGATCGTAGCACCTTAAGCCTTGCGGTGATCCTAAAGTCGCCAACCACCTCGATCTAGCAAAGAGCTAAACCTAGATGGGTTTTGATAAATAAACCGGCTAGCGGAGCCGATTTCTAGATAACTACCCGTCTCGTGGGCAAACGGAAGGTTTTCAGGACAAACCTACAAAGAGGTGTCGCACTCTCGCAGTGGCGGCGGACGGTTTACGGCGCAAACCGACAAAGATGGACAAACTAAGAGAAAACTAAAAGCAATATGAAAAGAACGATTCGATTGATTGATAGTAGATTGTTTTTTACAATGAACCGGCCTTGTCCCTTATATATGGGTTGGTCTTGCCTTCTACAGGCCCTCCTCCACGTCCAACTCGGGGTAGAATCCAAAGGAAACCCGAAACATACCTTCCCGAGCAAGGAAACCTCGAGACCCGACGAAACAGGGTCGGACTCGGACCCGCCGGTCTGATCGGCCTACAACCGGCGGTCTGACCGCCTAACACATGTCGGTCAGGCCGGCCCACTCGGAGGAAACCGGTAGATTTCCAAATTTTGGCAATCTTTCCTATTTTAATCCTAGGTGCCAAATTTGGGTGTAAACACCAAGCTTGTTTGTTCTCTTATTTGCATTGAAACCCAAGTGTTGTACGATGGCATGGTTTAGTTCCCAACTTTTTCTTCAAACTTCCGACTTTTCCATCACATCAAAACTTTCCTACACACACAAACTTCCAACTTTTCCGTCACATCGTTCCAATTTTAATCAAACTTTTAATTTTGGCATGAACTAAACACACCCTATATAGATGGTCGTTTTAAATAAGTCTAGTAGCAAATCGTCTGCCTCGTTGCGATCCACTACGCCGATTAGCCAGATAGATATATTCTTTACCAATAAATAGTTAGTAGATTTTCTTTGAACTTACTACCTCCGTCCCATTCTAAGTGCAGTTGTAGGTTTTTGTGTCTAACATTTGACTGCCCATCTTATTTAAAAACTTTATGAAAAAAATAAAAAGATAGTCAGAAATAAAGTATTACTTATATTTTATCATTTAATAACAATAAAAATACTAATCATAGAAACTTTTTAAATAAGACAGATAGACAAATGTTAGATATGAACAGTATAAAACGGCGATCTTTCTAGACGGAGGTAGTGTTTCATAAGAAAAACAAATCTCTACTATTATAAAAATTGAGGATGTTTTTATCGGTATTTTGGTACGTCATCCGTGTATGAGTCGGTTTTAAGTTCGTTCGCTTTTAGAAATACAATATCTGTATTTGAGGTTTTTAAGTTTGTTTTGGAAATACATATCCGTATAAGAAATCCTTTTTTTTAAAAAAATACTCGCATGCTAACTTGAGATGAACATACTCCTAATTGCAGCTTGATATATATATATATATATATATATATATCTAAACAAATTCATAGAGTAAATTTCACCTTAACTAAACCATATAACAATAGCCTTTACCCGTTGCAACGCACGGACATTTTTATAGTAAATAAATAAATAAGACATGGAAACCTAGATCGGAAAACTTCATTCTCACAGCATTAGCGGTAGGAGACGACAAGTACTACTTCTACTATATGGGTGTACGTATCGGTATTTTGTCACGGCGTTGGCATGGTGGTGCACCTCACGGTGTGCACATAGCGCGAGAGCAACGAGGCACGCACAGGAGGCACAGGACAGGAGGACGGGGAGAGTGGGAAGTGGGCAGACGACGACGTGACAGGGTTAGGGTCAGGGTCAGGGTCAGGGGGGGAGTGAGGCACTAGCACAGGCGTACGTGGGCGAATGGGCGCGCGCCGTGCAGCCATAATTGCACCGGATTGGACGGGGACGGACGCCCGTGGGCCCGGGACGCGTGGCCTCGCACCCGCACGCTGGATCGCGCCTGACGTCACGTCAACCCCCCCCCCCCCCCCCCCCCCGAGTCGACCCAGGCGTGCCTGGCGCGGGGCGTCGCGATTGGTCCGACGCGCGGTGGGATGTGGGGCCCACCACGCTGTACGGCGCCGCGGATTCGCCGGACCGGAGCGCGACTGTTCGGGCGTGATGGCAACGTACGGGCGGATTGGTCCGGGCCATATGGTGAGCTGTTTTCATTTCGTTTGCGCGTTACGTGTAACAATTTTTTAATAATAAAATTTGTTAAAGCATTTATTAGAACTTTATAACAGTCGATTCATTCGTTTATACACCTTAATTTTTTTTAAACATGGTAATAAGGCCATTTTTTTAAACATGTTACCAACGCTGGCGCTTAAAACACACGCACATCTTAAATAACGATTTCAGGGTGCAGCATCCAGGCTGCCATTGGGCCACGTGGCACTCTACAAAATTTTCTACTACTCTGAAATTATGCCACGGGTCCTGCCCTATGCATATTTAAACTGCATTCTTCTGTCCATTGAACTCTCAGGAAAAGTCAGGAGTCAATAAATCACCTTGCCTGCTGCGTTTAGTTGGGGAAAAGAAAATTTTTAGGTGTCACATCAGACGTTTGACCGAATGTCGGAAGGGGTTTTCGGACACGAATGAAAAAACTAATTTCAGAACTCGCCTGGAAACCGCGAGACGAATATTTTGAGCCTACTTAAGCTGGCATTAGCACATGTGGGTTACTGTAGCACTTATGGCTAATCATGGCCTAATTAGGCTCAAAAGATTCGTCTCGCGATTTATAGCTAAACTGTGCAATTAGTTTTTCTTTTTGTCCACATTTAATGCTCCATACATGTGTCCAAAGATTCGATGTGATAGGTAAAGGGGAAAATTTTTGGGAACTAAACTGGCCCTGACCCTTGTGAAGAAGTTGGATATGTAACCCATCCGAAGTCTCTGGAAAAATTAAGATATTACGTGGTTCTTCACGTGTTTTTATACGCACAAACTATGCCAGTACTCACATAGTCACATATTGATTTCCAAGACCTTTGATGCTTTAACTTTTTTAAGACTGGTTTTAACTTTTAATACAAAGAGTAATATTTTAATACAAAGACTGGCTCTGCATATTAAGCTGAAAATTAGAGTCATTTGCCTAAAAAATTATGCCTTACATAAATTTCGTAATTTTCCTATAGGTTGACAAATTCTGTAAATTGTACTAATTCAAAAGACACATCTTCCAAAGTATTTGTTCAAGGTATTTATAGACGCTAAAACAAGTTAATCTTCCATTAGCAAAAAAAAAAATTTCAAGTTGAATTATAATTATACAGCAGACAAGTACGGCTAGCTAATTGCGGCAGAGAAGAATCAATTAGCCATGCATACACTAATTAACCATATTACTCTATTTGTTGATAATATTGCTCTAACTATGTTCGATTGTACCTCTGATTAGCTTGTATTATTTTTAAGATGGGGGAGTATCGTATATGAGACTACAGAGGGGAGTAGGTGACACTGGTAGATTAGCACAAGAAATTTCTCTTAGAGAGACTTGTCAAAAACTATATCCTTTAGTTTTCAGTCCACTAATCATCTAATCTTACCAATTATTAATAGGTGTTAATTACTCTGTCTAATGGAAGAGAAAAACAAAGGTTTGAAAGCAAATAGGCAAGTACTATACATAATTTTTATACATAATTTTGCTTTCTGTATTAATTCTTTTACAATGCTTAAATCTTTACATAAATACGATTATTACTATAAGTTAAGAGATAATTCATGAAATGCCATTGACAAGCGTCTAAGTCCCAGAAATGCCATCGACAAGTGTGAGTTCCAAGAAATGCCATCGTACAAACGA